CCGAAGAAAAATGGTTTGTTCGAAGAAAGAGACTGACACGAGATGTTTTCGAGGCCAAACAACAAAAGAACTAATGTGTATGTGTGACTGAGAGGGAGTGTGCTAGAAAATTATAGAGAGAGAAAATCAGAAGAAAGAAAAAAAAACGATTGGGGGAGCAAGAGAGAAACGTGCGTGTTGCGTGAAAAGAAGTGAAGAGAAAAAAAAAAATCCAATTTGAGAGCGGTGACAGGAAATATTGTGAAGGCGAAATACTAATGGCTAGCTCAGAAGATGATAACTAGATAATTGGTTTCGGATTGGTCTGTTATATAAAAAAAAAGTATATTCGTGGTAAGTGTAGAACTTTCTCTATTGCTTTTTCTGGGATTTACTGCTAATTTCCTTTTTAAATTTGGGTTAAGGAACTTTTGTCAGCTGTAGTCTTTCATTAACACTTAACAAATACAGTGTTGTTCTTTTTCTCTTTTACTTTCTCTTTTACGTTTTTTTTTTCCCTTTGTTAAATTAGTCTTAAGCTAAACTCTGGAGTTTAACATACTAATTATATAACTACGACGAAGAGCAAGCTCAGCTCGCGAAGACCACGAGTCGAGCTCAAGCTCTACTCGTATCCACAAATTAGACTCGATTCGATCATTTGACTCGTGAACTTCATGGATTGAGCGAAATAAAACGTTCAAAAGTTCATGACGTAATTTGTGTTTTTTAAAAGAAGTTAACAAACCAAGTCAAAAACGAGCTGATCTATGAGCCCAAAACTAGCTAAAAAAAAAAGTGTCTGTTTATTGTGACTCGTCTCAAAATGGATATGAGTCGGGACGACCTAAGCTCGTGAGTGGCTTACAACGTTTAGGGCCCCTAGTTGAAGAGAAGGGGATGAAATTGAACTTAATACTTGTACCTATTTGGATTCTAGAATAAATACATGAACTATAGCATTCTTTGGAGTGATTATAAGATTTGGATTTACAGAATATATGAATGTTAAGTGAATATTGATTGTGAGTTCTACAATATATGCGAATAAAAGTATGTTCAACGAACTTAAATTTTACACTCAGACCTAGGATTGGTCATGTATTTATAACTATGCCTCCCGATGTGGCCGCGTCGGCAAAAGAAAATATGATTTTAAAAAATAGGAAATATAACTCATTTTCTTTTTAAATTTTTGAAAATTTTATTTTCTCAAGCAACCCCATCCTTTGTAATTGTATGTGCATAATTTGAAATTGATGCTCCATCAATATGAAATTATGTAAATAAAATGTTTTGATTAGAAAAAAAATATATACTTACATGTGAGGGGAGCGTGTTAAAGATAGCCCATATTTAGTATTGATTTTAATCTAAATCAAAGTTAAACAATCAATATTAACCACATATTTTTTGGGTCTCACAACTTTTTAACCATACATTTTAAAAAATTTTATCAAAAAAATCTAATTTTAATTCTCACCAAATAAGGGCATAATATTTAAATAGTATACATAAGACTTAACCTAATAATTTAAACTTTTATATACAGTGATGTTGACGTCCAAAATTGAGTGGACAAGATTAGAGTCAACTTAAAATACAGATGATCATCCAAGGAAAACAAGTGGAAGATATTCCTATCATAAAACAATAATATTACTTTACAAGTTGTAAGGGATATTCAAAGTATTACAATGAGTTTTCTTGGTATTTTTTCCTAAGATTTTTTGTCATCCCCTTCTTATTTGCATCCTGGACCCTTTTTATAGGATAAATATACTGGCGCCTAGTACTCCTGTCTTGTCAACACAGAAAATCGAGCCGAGCTAAGTCGTGTGTTGGCGCAACTGGATTGGCATCCGAGCTCGATTCTATCTTATTGATCGTGAGATGATGGGACAAGCGGGTCCCAACAATAAATGCATAGTCTTAGCTAGACAAGCTAAGACGTCTGATTTGGGAGTTAGGTAGGCGCTAACATAGGACCTTTACATGTGTGTTTTCCTGATTGGTAACTCAAAGATCTTGTCAGCGATCTGTAATCATTAGTTACTATTGTGTCTTGAAAGATTACAATAGTTTGTTGAGTAAGTTATTCAGAACCGAGCTGACCTCGTACCATCGAGCTCGGGTTGTTTTACCTTCATTGGAATATTACAATCCGAGCTTAACGACCTCTGAGGTCGGTATCAACAAGTGATTCAATATTCAGTTTAAAATTATGATTGTCTGTCTTTTAATTTTAAATATTTCTACCTTTTTGTATGAATTTTAAGACGTAATGATTTAGCATATCACACATTGATTACATGAAATCATTGTTACGATTTGGCTACCTACTAAGCTATATTTGCTAGTGTTGGGACGACGTATCACATTGAAATGGTGATGTAATGAGTAACTAAATTGAAATTTGGTAATTTAATTAAATAAATTAAAGTTTTTTTAAAAAACTAAATATGATTTCACTAAAAGTTTAGCGATCAAGTTAAAGCTATATTCTCTTTTGTTTGTCCAAACAAGTGCTGTGGATTTGTGTCGTGGGTGTCGAATCCCTGGACTGGGCTCAAATCTGTCCATTCAAACGGACCTAAAGTCCCCAACTAGTCCATTTTGGCTTCTTTGATCTTAATTCTCAACTCTTGATTTATAACTCTATTTTGGACTACCGAAAAGTTGTAAATTAGTGACTCCTTTTAAAGATCATTATGACATGGCTGTATAAAAATTATAATCAATGAGATATCATCAAATTATAATATATCCCAAATAAAAATTTATGATATAATCGTAGAAAATAAGAGTTTCTTTGAAGATTGAGTCATTTGTAAAAATGACAACGTGCCTGAATTACATCGCCTGCTTAACGACTTAGCTGAGCTGAGAGTGGAGCTCAGAGTTTGGCTGGCTGAGCTCGGGAAGTAAAGTCTTGAGCTTCGTGGTCTCATTGTACATTTTTATTTTCTTGTTTAATTTATGCGTTTTTACTTTGTATTCATTTTTTGTATATTTCTTTAAAAAAAACGTAAAAGCTCCCTACCGTGTTTGTTATGTTATGAGCATCCGAGTACCCAACTCAACACAATTCGGATATATATCTCACATCGAATAAAGATGTAAACATAAACCAACTAATAAAGATCACAGGCTACTCCTCTTAAAAAGATTGACTTTTTAAGATGAAATCTCAAATTTTAACATGGTATCAGGACCTCTTATACTCCAACGAGCTATTTGATTCCGATAAGACTCTAAAAATGAACACGTGAATTTCAAGATTGGTCTGCTCAAATGAGCCACCATTTTGTAGGGGCGTGTTTTGGAATATAGATCCTACATCGATAAATGATGTTGACACAAACCAATTAATAAAGATCTCGGGCTACTTCTCTTAACAAGGTTGACCTTTTAAGATGCAATCTCAAATCTTAACAAGTTGATCGTGGGTGGCTGCTTACTCATAGACCAACTTGACTTGATCTATTGTCGCCTAGGTTTTGGCAAAAACCAATTCAAACCGATCAACCCAATATAAATCAATCGGTTTGGATTGATTTTGTAGTTCAATTGGGTTGGATACGGGTTAGGAAATCAAATTTTAGGTCGAGTTGGGTTGGGTTCCGGGTTGTCTATTAAAATCTAATCAAATCCAACACAACTCAACACAACACAATAAATTAAAAAATATTAAAAAGAAAATTAGTGTTTAAAACCTAAAACCTATTTATCAAAATTTTCTTGTGCCTCACGTCTCTTCTGCCTCGCATTGCTGTTCTTGCATTGACTTCTCGACTCAATTTTTTGACGTGATTTTTGAATAAAAACTTGATTGAAGGAGGTGATTTTGTATTGAATTTAGATGATTTAACATTTTTAGTATTTAGGTAGAATTCATTTTATTCAATAGGTATAATATGCGGGTATTCAACATATATTTAGATTGATTTATTATGCATTTAATTTGATCATGATTTAATTTATTTAACAGGTTTTACAAAAAAATTTTCAACATATATTTAGATTGATTTATTATGTATTTAATTTGATCATGATATAATTTATTTAACAGGTTTTACAAAAAAATTATTTTATATTGTTCTATGGAATGGAACTTAACCCTACGTACCATTGATCCAACTTTAATCCACTTAAAGCCTTTCAAATCATCATTTTTAATCTAACTAAAATTGGTCCAAATTGAAATGATATCAAATTTAAAAAAAATTATTCAAATTCAACGAAAAAGGTCACAACCATTGGGCCTATAAAAAATTGTCCAACTTGAATTATACTTCAGTCCAAACCAATCAACCCAACCCAACCCAACCCAACCCAACCCAACCTGAGTTTGATCGATTTGGATTGGGTTGGGTTTCAACCGTAAATGAATTGGTTTCGATTTGAATTATTGTCAAATCAAACATGTTAGGTTGAGTTTTGGTTGGACTCAAAACCAATCAAATCCAACCCTCGCTCCTAGCCATTGAGATATTGTCTACTTGGCGACTAAATAAATGTTTTTATAACTTCATCAAAATTATCAATTGAGTATATTCATTTGTCATTTAGTTAAAGCATATTTAGTACACAATGCTCAATGCTTAATATAATTAGACATTTATTGAATAAAATTTTACGGAGTAAAAAATGTAAATGGGAATCCATTTCCAAAGCAATAATATGCTTCCATCTCCCTGTCCTCTATCCTTGAGGAATTTGTGCTTCGATTCGTTTTTCCTGTCCAATATCTGCTTCTTGATCCTTAGTGCACATCATCAGAACCTTCTCTCCAGCAATTTTATATATTTTCTTTATAAAAAATAGTTTTTTTTGGTTACTTTAATCAACAAAGTAATGAGATTCAATTTTTTTTTCTGTGCATATGGCCCTCACTAGCACATTTTATATTTGCATGCACTAACATAAATCTTCTATTATTCAGTAATAATATGATACAAGAAATTATCATAGTATTAGAAATATAAAACAAAAGGGAAACCTTAATTGTGAAATTATCATTAATGTTCTGGCCATGCCCACAAATCTGGGTTTTCATCAATGCTACTGAACATGTTGCAAAACCCTTCATTGGTGACAATCTTGTGGCCCTGATGAAGATCTGGATCCCTTAATGAACTTTGGAGTTGTGTTAGACTTGTGGGTCCCATTGATGAAGAATAAATCAGTTTGTTGCTTGGACGAGAATAGAACTTGCCGTCTGCTGATGTTGCTTTTGTTGTAACTAGGTTGATGTCACAGCCATTTCCACTTCCATTGCTCCAGCTGCACTCATTTTCCTTGTTCAGGTTTATAGGTCTAGTTGATTCTCCATTTTTCAGAGCCATTAACTGCATTAATTAATTAAGAAACATGCAATATAACAAGTTTGATAGGTTATGAAAATTTGGGAATTTTGTTCTAATCCTAAAGCCCTAGCGAACCGTGATTATAAAATTATAACGATCCTAAGGTAGCGAATTTCTTCCTCGACTATGTAATCATGCATTATTGTTTGAGAAAATTAAGGAAGAACAAGAAAACCAAACCTCGGAATTGAGTTTCTTATTCTGAGTCTTGAGGTTATCATTATCAGCCTTGAGAGCCTGAAATTGTCTCTTTAAAATGTCATAATCTTTCTCTAATTGTTTAGTTTTACACCTTGCTCTTCTGTTCTGGAACCATATAGCAACTTGCCTTGGCTGCAATCCTAAAGCTCTAGCCAACTGCATTTTCCTCTCAGGCTCAAGCTTGTTACCTAATTCAAAACTCTTTTCAAGTGCCTTCACCTGTTCTAGCTTCAGTCTCTTTTTCTTCTCCCCGAGTTGCAATCCATCGTCCGACATGTCGTCATCGACCGGCACCTCCTCGCTCCGGTCGAGCCCCGAAAACGACATGGATCTCCTCATCAAGAATTGGGATACACCTAGACCACCAACACCACAAGAACAAGAAGTCAACACTTGGGCCTCTAATCCCTACTTACAAGAAACACTAATAAACAAACAAAACATGCACACGCATCAAAATGGACCCAAAATTATACAGTATGATTAGGCTCGACACAGTTCAACAAATAGCTGCACACGAGAGGGAGAAAGATGGAGACGTAACTATGGAAGTCTTGAGGATCGCAAGACGACGAAAAGCCTCCCCTTGTGATGGATGGAAGATGGCCATCTTCATGGCTTGGGAACACGGATTCTGTTGCAGGGAAAAAAGCCATACTAATCTCTCTTTCTCTCTATATATCCGTATCTATATATCTGTGTATGTGTGAATTATGATGGTGTTTTCATAGGATTGTATGGTGAGAAATTTGGAGTGGGAACATGGAGGGCAAGACTGGAAGACAGCGATAATCCGTTGAGAGAGAACGTGGAGTGTTGTTTATTGTTCTCAGATTCTAGTTTACCTGCTGCAATGTGACCATGATGTTTTCTCTTCGTATTTTTCAAATTTATTTTGATTTTTGACGTTTATTATCAACCCCACTGATACCCTTGTTTCAATGTCAACAGACAGAATATTTACTTCTTTCATTTTCAACAATTAATTTCACATCATCATTTTCAGTAATACTTAGCATTATTTTATCAGAATTATTGCTGTTATTAATTGCCCGTTTCATTGAGTTCTTTGCAATTGGATGTGACATTAGAGATAATCTATGAGTTTCAATGTTACCAAAAAAATAATTCCCCAATCAAACCAAAGCTAATTTTTTGCAGTTTAACGCGACAATTGGAAATCGTAATTTGGAAGATCTGATTAACCAAAAACATTTAGTTCTTGAATTTGAGAATAGCTAACGAGTTGAAGGTAGTCAGTGTTTAATTACCAATCAAATTAATCGAAAAGTTGGAATTTACGACTACTTACTTATTTCATTACATCATGAAACGAGTCTCGCATGTCAGTTGGAAAATGTTCATTTTACGTTGCACTACTAGCTTTCACAAGTTCTTTTCAATGGAATAGTTTCATTCATTTAATGATCAAAAAGATAATTGTAGCTCTACTTTTATTTCATATGAAAAATATGGAAAAGGTAGAGTACCAATTTGTTACAACTCAAATAAGATAAGGACCAAATGTGTAAATATTTCCAATGGTACAGGAGGGTGTGGGTATGACCTAAAAATAAGCAAATTGCACATGGCATCCTTAGTTGGAATGTTGGTGGAATCGACTCTCTATATCTTCTTACTCACATGCTGGCCTCTACCCATGTGCCTATTGCTATTAATAAACATTTTATGTGTAACAAAATTTGAGATTTTAATTTTATTATTGAAGCAAAATAATGATAATAACTTAAATTTTTAATAAGTATAAAACTTAATATGCCTTATTAGTTCAAAATTATTATTATTATTATTATACAATTTCAAGTTAATAAAATATTATTACAACTAAACGGGTAGTCCTTTTTGGACCGAATTTAACTCCTAATATAGACGAAGATAGGTTTTTATTTACTTAGATTTAAAAATGTGGGTTGTCTTTTTATGTATATGTGAGTGTGTGCGAACATCAGAATTTGACAAAAGAAGATCGTGTTACACTCGATAATAGTAATGGATAATATCCTTCTTTTAGATGAGAAAGCCATCTTTCACGTACACAAAGATAATTTTAAATAGCAATTTATAACTAACTAAATATTACTTTATTCTTCTTTCTTTATTATTAGTATTTTATTGTCATGTAGCCAATCTTTAAAATCTACAGTCATTGTGTTGATTTCGCGAATTGTTATTGTATGATTTGTAAATAATGCTTATATTTTCTTGAAGACTTTTATGAGGGTTGATCCTAAAATTTTGGTGTCCAACCTTTATAGGGAACCTTTAATAAATAGTTGAAAATAAAGTTACATAAGATGATTATAAATAATAATAATAATAATACTATAAATAAAAATATTCAAAGTTAAAACTTTCAAAAATTCACTTTAAATTTACTCTCCTTACAATTTGAGATGAAAAATTAACAACTAAACTATTACAGTCAATAGACTCTAATATATGTTTTCCAATACACACTATCGTCAATCCATTCAATCTTTGTTATGATATTGTTGATCGAAGATAAGATTTTATTAACTTCAATTTTGAGATGAAGTTGGTGAGAATTTACCTTCGATCTCTCGGAAGCTTGCTCCGACAAGGTGAGATTTTTTTGAAGGAAGAGAAGTCTTAACATCAATTTTGATTAGTGTGGCGTAAATTATGAATGTAGTGTGGTCTTGCGTTATAAGGGTGAACAAGGTTCGATTTGGACGGTTTGTGATAAATTTTCAAACCAAACCATTTAAAGGGGCTTGAAATTTTTTCAAACCACTTTAATTTCTAAACCAAACAAATCCAAACTAATTTTTTTGGGTTTGTCTCGGTTTAAAATCACGGTTTACCAAAAAAAAAAAAAAGTAATATATATCGAATAAGGTAAATCATAAATATTAGTCTAAAATTCCACGAGTGTCAACAAATATTATAATCAAAGTTCTATAATTCTAATCACTATATTGCAACATGATATAAACATTTTAACCTCTTAGTCAATACTAATGTCACAATATTTGCAATTGTAATACATAATTTATTCTCTCCATGAAGATAAAAATATAGTACGTGAATTCATTGACTAGAAAGATCAAATACGATAATACATTCTATCACTTTTGTGAACCATTCAATGTTTTATACCTCATCCAAATATTGACGAATCATTATGGGTTCATTTTTACTATGCAACCAATTTTTAGGGCAAATCTCTAAGTCAACCATTTTTGCACTCAACGAACTCCTAAATGAATCAATAATCTGACCACTAATAGCGAACGTGGACTCAGAAACAGTTATAGATATTTGAATAGCTAACACATATTTAACAATTTGGGGATAATCTTGAGCTTAGTTATATTCGATATCTACCAAAATAATATGTCGAAAAGCTTATAGGTCGAATCTTCAAAATGACAATTCAAGTAATCCACCAAAATATTCTAGCAATTAAGAGTAAAATCTAGAAATCATGTTAAAATTTAAATAACTAATTAAGTGACCCGATCAGGAAATTGAGACACAAATAAACAAAAAATAATGTCCGCTAAAAAAATTAAGGGAGCGATTAAAAAAAAGGATAAATTGACATGAGAATTTATCCAAAATTCAAGAAATTTATTAGTAGAAAGAAAAGAAATGTGTAAATTTGAAATAAAATCTAGATTTAATAGTCTCAATTGTAATGGAAGATCGATGGATATATGATTCAGTGGCCGATATTTACACTTCACCCAATTTGAGGGTTTTGTATTACAATTGTGACGACTGATAGATATTTGAGTATGATTTAATTAATTAATTGTGTGAATAATTGTCTATTTGAGTATTGAGTTTAATTAGATAATGTCTAATATGGCTGTATCTTTTTAACAAGTGTGTGTTTAGTTTTAATTGAGTTGGGTGAAATTTAAATTAAATTATTTTATTATTTTTATAAATAGTTTGATGGTTTGAAACGGTTTGCTAATATTAAAACATAAATCAATGGTTTGGTTCGGTTTAAAATCAAAACGTTGACAGATCCACGTAAATCCAAACCAACGATTTCAAAAAAAAAAATGATTTCGTTTCGATTTTATGGTTTGACGGTTTCATTGTTCATTCATATTGTGGTGTGAACAATCTTCCATTTCAACGGAGAATGGATCTTAAAATTTTAGTTGGGCTTGACATTACTATTTAAAAAGGGAAAATTATATAAAATAAGGGGTTTAGTTTGACGTTTTTAAAAATCAGGGTTTTAGTTTATTTTTGCAAAAATCCAGTAGTATAAAACCATAATTCTTAACCTAATCAATTTCCTNTTCAAAAAAAATTAATAGTTATATTAAAGAAAAATGTTATTCATCCCCAGTGGGGATGCATCACCAATTTATGTGGATGTAAATTATTGGTTAAATTAAATGACTTATTTAATTTCACCTATCATTTAATGCCACATTAACGTTACATAGATTGGGGACGCATCCCCAGTAGGGATGAATAGCATTTTTCTATATTAAATTAATCCACACACTAAATCGAAAGCGCACATTATGCGGCAATCGACTGTTTCTATTAAGGATTAAGGAAGGATTATGGGAAATGTTTGTTATATAAGATTGGGCCAAATTTCAGATTTAAAAAAAAAAAAAAATGGGTTGTGGGGATGGCCCAAAATTCAGTATGCCTGCATTGGGTCTCCCTCTGAATTATGATTGAACCCAAAGATCCCAAATCTACTATAATATAGAATGGGAAAATTTCATTTCTAAGATGATAATTATGTGCCATTTCAAAAATATGAAAACAAGTTTCAAATTTCAAAAATCAGATTTTTTTTAGAATTTTTAATTTTGAATTAATAAATTATTAAATAAATTTATTAAACATTTAATTTTAATATAATATAATTAATTCACCCCATCTACATCGCCCCTACTGCTCCGGGGACTATTCGAACGACCATTCCGGCCACCACTCTTCTCCGACGGTCGTTATGGCGACTACTCCAATTCCAGCGACTATTTCGGTAACCGTCACAAATTTATATAATATAGTTACAGATTCACAATTTAGTTAGTCATATATTATTTTTCGATCACAAATCATAATTTTTTAAGTCACAAATTATTTTATGGTCAAATGTCAAAAATTTTATAGGTCACAATTTGTTTATCAGTCGCGGATCAAAAATTTTGTAGGTCACAAATTATTTCGAAATCATAAATCAAAAATTTTATAGGTCACGTATTATCAAATTATTGGTCACAACTTATTTTTCGGTCAGAAATCAAAATATCACAAATTATTTTACTGTCACAATTTATTCATCGGTCACAAATTAAAAATTGAAACGTCACAAATTATTTTACGGTCACAATTTAAAAATTTTATAAAACACAATTTGTTCATCGGTCACAAATCAGAAATTTTATAAGTCAAATTATTTTACGGTCACAAATCAAAAAATTTATAGGTCACAAATTATTTTACAGCCACAATTCAGAAATTTTATAAATCACAATTTGTTCATCGACCACAAATAAAAAAATTTATACGTCACAGTTTATTTATCGGGCACAAATCACAAATATTATGGCCTTGTATGGGAGGGATTAAAATCAGATTAAAATTGAAAATATAGCCGTTATTGTTGACTTTTATTAAACGAGTG